TTAAAGAAATAAAAGTTTTAAATTTCGTTTTATTCAACCAAAATCATCTATGATAAAAAAGTTAAAAAATGTTACTAAAAAAATATTAAAAAAAACAAGTTGCAAAATGAGCGTGTTTTTGTATTTTTTATTAGACGTGTGCAAAAAACAGCCATTTTGAATCGTGTTTTATACAATTTCTTTCCAATTGGTTGTGAGTAATCCAAAAACGCAATAAAAAAACACAACTTTCTATTGAAAATAAAAAAGTTAATACCCATTTCTGGTGTAACCGGAAGTACTGCCATCTTGAAAATATTTTCATTGGGCAAAATCTAAACAATTATGACTATAGTCAAAATTTTAGATAAATATCACTATTAGAACTCCCAATACTTCTATTCATTGTAAAAAGAAAAGTCAAAATAACTTTGAAATTATTAAATTTAGGTATAGGGAATGTTGATACAGATCGATGCAGAATTAAATTCTCTTTCATTTAGTAAAAAAAAAATTGGGGCCTTCCATTTGAAAAAATTCAGTTACGGGTATTTGAAGTTTCCCAAACGTAACCTTAAATTTTGGAGGTTTGTTATATATTTTTCCAATTATAAATACACGAAAGAGAAGATCTAACCTTTTTTTTCATATGCCCAAATACGATTTCAAAATGATTAAAAATGGTAGAGTTATCGATTTTTGGAGAGGAAAATGCATATTAAAAAAAGATTCAAAAAAGTCTAAATATATCAAAAACGGTTAAATTTAGGTCTAATAAACTCTCTCAAAATCACTTGAGTAATCCCAAAACGCAATAAAAAACCTAGCTTTCTATTTAAAATAACAAAGTTGATATATATTTTCATTGAGCAAAATGTTACTAAAAAAAATATTAAAAAAAAACAAGTTGCAAAATGGGCGTGTATTTGTATTTTTTATTAGACGTGTGCAAAAAACAGCCGGCATTTTTCTCTGGTGCCCGAGTTCTGGCGCACCCTCTATATATAGAATTTAATAACTTTCACCTTATTGTTTACTCTTCTTCAGGTTTAGAGGAAAACAAAGTATGTACCCCGGGCTTCTTCCTCTGCAAAAACACAACAATTTGCATTCCACAATTCAACTACTGCGATGGGAAGGAAGATTGTCCTGGTGGTAGTGATGAACAACGCATCGATTGTGGTAAGTGTCATATACTGGGTGTTTCAATTAATTGTGCTTGTTAGATGATCAAGGCAAAGACGATTATTATGATCACCAGTTCAAAAAAAGGCCTTCGGCGCTTAATGACCACTTGGGGAACATTTGTAGTAAGTTAATTTTTAAAAAATTAAAAAAAAACGACACGAAAAATTTCAGATTTGAATTACACCGGAAGTTGTATTTGTCGAGGCAGGGATTTATTGTGTGGTCATAAAAATTTGGATAAAATTCCCGGGGATTTACCACAAAATATCACGTTATTGTAAGTTTTTATTTTAATTTGAGGAAAGTACTAATTTTTTTTGTAGGGATTTTGAAGGCAACAATTTTCCTGTTTTGAGTGGCGATGTTTTAGACAAAGTGCCACAGTTTGTCGAGAAAATGTAAGTCATGTGTGTTGTGGAAAATTTTACTCATTAATTGAGTTTGATCGGTGATTAATTTTCCACCGATCGATTAATGAAATTTTATTTCTAACAAAAATATTTGTTATCGCCAATCTATCACAAGATGTTTCAGGGTCATAGCGACTCTCTCAATTACCTGACATTTTAATATTCTAATGGGTTTGCTTTCGAGTGCATAGTCCTCTTAAAATATTACCTGTCACAATATGGATCAGAGAATTAATCAAAATTAGACCGACTTGACGACGTCGATCTCAATTAGGCGCTTCACATAATGACTAAATTCACTTAAAAGTGCATTTTTACTTTGCTGGATATGAAAATAATAAAAATAATAAGAAAAATCGTTGTTTCTGATTTTTGTAAATTTGAGATGTGTTATAGAACGTGTAAAAATAAGTGATACGCATGGCCGTACCCAAGGGGGGGGATTAGGGGGTTCAAACCCCCCCTAAAATGCTGAGCACTTTGTTATATAGTGTTATAAGTGTTTAAATTTTTGTTAATTAATTTTTTTTTAAATAGTTTAAATAGTTCATAGAATATTTAATTTTAAGACAAAAGTGTTTCGAAAAATGCTACACCCCCTAAAAAGCTACGTTTTTTAAAGGGTTTTTCCTAATATTTTAGAATAAATAAAATTACAAAATTTGGGACCTTTAAATGTACACCTAAACAAATGCCAAATAACAAAATTTTTAATCAGGGGCGTCCTAAACGGTGAAACAAATTTAATTTTTAATTTTTATGTTGTTTATGGTCTGTAACATAAATTTTTAAACCGATTTTTACTAAAAATCCGTAAATTATATTGGAAAAACACAAAAGACCTTTTTTATGAAAAACTATGAAATTTTGTTGCTGAAAGTGGCAAGAAACCACAGGCAAAATAGAGTAAATTTTTACCCTAATCCCATCTTGTTTAAGAAGCCCCTAATTAAAAATTTCAACATTTTATTTTTGAACTTGTTTAGGTGTATAAAAGTTACCAAATTTTGAAATTTATTTCTTAAATGATTTCGGAAATAATGAAAAAAAAGCTGTTAAAAGACGCATCCCTTGCGTAGCATTTTTCGATATATGTTCATAGAAAAAATTTGTTTTAAAAATGAATATTCTATCTCCTGTTTAAATTTGTAACAATAAAAAGTATTAAAAA